GTGTGTGTGTGTGTGAGTGAGTGTGTGTGTATGTGTGTGTGTGTGAGTGCATGGTGACTAAAAGCAGCTTCTCTGTAAAAATCTTTTTTTCTACTTTATCTCTAACTCTTCTCCATATACATATGAATACAAACTATAATAGTATCTCAATGAAAAGAAAATAACATTTTGAATAATGAAAATAGTTTTTTATGGTTTAAGTTTTAATTTTAGTTTTGTTAACTAACAATGCAATTTGAAATTCATAAAAGGCATGTTACTTTTATAATTTTGTTTGTTATGTATGCAATAATAATTATTGACAGTTTTTAGATGCATTTTAAAAGAGCTCTCAGTCGAATGAAAATGTTAATTAAATTACTTACTAGCTATGCTGAATTTATATAAACTAATGTCAGTCATAAATCATTTTTGCCAAGAAAAGATGCCTTAAACATTACTAATAACTGACATGATTGTAGGTTATGAATAAGTCAGCGAATAGACATAAAGTAGCTTACATATATATGGTCCTTATGTTGTGTTTTATTTGCAGATCATTGAACAGTAATTCACTCATTTTCATCAACACTGAGCTACAGAAAGTCACATTTCAGAGTTTATAAAGAGTTTCCCTTGACATGCATGCGCTCCTTCAAAGTCAATCATGAGAATTCTTTGCATTTCCATCAATGAAAATTCATTCTATCAGAGGCGGTATTTGTACATTACAAGGACTATAAATTCATAAAACACTACATTCATAAAACCGAAAGGCTTTTAGGTCAGCCTTGAGGACATATAATTAGTATGTCTCTTTTTGTAAGACTTACATTTTTTTTTTGCGCTTTAAAGGACTTTTATTTTGCAGTCGAGCGTGTCTACTCGTGAGTTCCTGTGAAGCGGCGCTCTGATTCGGCGGCGGGAGGAAGTGATGTCACGTGTTGTGGATTGAGAGGGAGTTTGTAAGCGGGTTCGTCTCTCACAGACTACAATAAACCACACAAACCGGTTTTCGTGATCTGGATTTCGGTACAGTGTTCTTAATGTAATGTATTTGAGTCTCTGAATGCTTCCAGCGCGGTTTCTGCCGCTTTAGTGAGCGCTGTAATGCGGCTCTATTGTTCGCTAGCAGTGAAGCATGCTAGTTAACTCGCTGAACTAGTCGTTTATATGGCACTCCTTTTATATAAACTAACGTTAGACCAGCTTAATTAGTCGTTTACCTAAACTAGATCAGGTTATCAGCTGGTCCTGATGATTGACAGCTGGTCAGTCTCAATATAAACACAGTCTGAGGAGAAATATTAACTTTGCATCTTTAGTGTTTCAAAATTTTATTTATTTATTTGTTGTTGTTGTTGTTGACAATGATTTAGTTTGCTGTTGATCTGTTTATTATTGTGTATTTCTGGAGGGGCAAAATACTTGAGATTTATGTTGCATTTCATTGACATTTATGTCAAGTATTTGAGTAGAATATGTTGTGGTTTTTAATCTGTAGCATTGTTATCACTCTTCTGGCATTGTTACTCAGTGCCATGGTTAATATCTTACTCTGGTTACCACTGTATGTCATATTGAATAGATTTTACAGTTGTTTACAGTACAATTTGCCATGAATGATGTCTGATTTGTGACCGAATCGTTCTTTTGAGTCGACTCGCAGATCGTTCTAAATGACTTTTTTTTTCTTTTTTTTTTCTTTTTTTGGAAAAACTTATTCAGCAACTTATAAACAACTGGAAAAGTTGTGGGAAAGTGTTTTTCAAAGTGTTGAAACCCTGTTTATTGTAGATCATAGTGTTATCCAGGCTCATGGATAACACTATTTATCCTATAATGATAATATGATCATTTTCACTGTTAAAGAAATGATATCTGTTTGTTGTCCAGTGTTTTCAGGTTTTATGAGACCAGAAGCGAGTGTGTAATTTGAAGAACATGCCTGAAATCAAACTCAAGCATGTCGTGTCATGCAGCAGTGAGGACAATGTAAGTCGTTTGTTTGTTTTTGTTTTGTTTTTTAATAACAGTAAGAAGTTTAATAGCAGTAAGAAGTGGCTTTTCAAAAACTGAAGGCCGCTTTACAATCAACGCACAATAATCTGCAAACCCGAGAAGTCTGTATACGAGTCCGGAGACTGCTGTATTTGTTAAAAGTTTTGAGTTTGATTCATTGAACTCAAATTCTGTTTTACACTGAGGTTTAAATGAGAGCTGCTATTAAAACATCCGTCTGAACACGAGTCTCAAGATGAGGAAGAATCATGAAACTAGTTTGACACGTGTAAATAAAAGCACTGTTTGTTTGTATACAGACCCAATTTATACTGTAAAATGTTTTAATATTATTTATAATTTTTGAAAATAATTTTTAAATATATATATTATTTTTAATTTAATTTAATTTTTTAGATATAAATATATAAAATCATTTTAATTTCCAAAATGGTAACTGGATGCCACTTGCCCTTTTAAGAACTTTATTAATGAATTCTTTAAATGAAATGTTAACCTCTTTGTGTCTCTTGTTTCTCCAGCTGGAAAAGGAAGAGCAAATTCACAGCATAGACATTGGAAATGAAGGCTCTGCTTTCATTGAGGTCCTTGTTGGACACTCCACGTCAGTCAAAGACCAAGACTTTCAGGTGCGTCTTAAAGTTACACACTTTAGCAGCATCAAACAGTTTAAAGAGCTTTAGCTAAAGTTTAGAATACGTGAATTTATTTACAATCCAGATTAGTTAATATTTGATTCAAGTCATATTTATTTTCACATACACATAAATTCAAAGCAGCTTTTACAGTAAATTATGATGTTAATGTTTATAATACCTTAATATCTTCATGCATTACAGTCACATTTATCAGGTTATAGCTATTTTTTTTGTCTTTTGGAAGCTGCATTCAAAATCAACTTGGCTTAAAAAGCATGACGCCTCTGGGTTTCTTTCAGAGATACAGTGATATAAAAATATCTGCGCCGGGTTTTGTAACGTGCAGTGCTCATGTTTATTCAACGAAGTCAAAGCCTTTTGGAAAATATAGTTGTGGCGGTCAGTTTTGATATTGTGGTGGCTGCCACAAATAAATCAATGTATGGGAAACACTGGTTTAGATTGCTTTACATTAGTGAAAATCTTTTGAAAAAATGAACAAAATAAAAAAAAAAATCCAAAAAATCCTTCAATAATAAATCTTTCCATCTTAATTATGAACCAGTTCTACTGAGTACGATAAATATATATAATTAATATTTTATTTATTTATTTGTGACACTTGTTTATTGAGATGCTATTATATTTTTTATTAATATTTATTAATTAATTTTAGAATAATTACTTTTTATTTTTATATTTTCTATTTTATAGTATTTGTTTGTTTTTAACAATTTTGTTGTGTTTTTGTAATTTTTATTTGGGTGTGTGTGTGTGTGTGTGTTATTTTTAATGTCTATTTGTATTCATTTTTATTTTAGTTTTAGTTATGTTAGTACTTTAAGTAAAATGAATTGAAAATGAGAGTGTTTCCCTGGCAGCTAGCTGAAATAAACATAATTTTAAAAAAAAATTGTTTTATTTTAAGTAACAGAAATATAATAAAAACATCATAACCCTGCAACTTATATTTGTGTACATATGTTTGTGTACATTGTGTTTTATTTTTTGTATGGCTGTATATTGCTGTAAACTGTAAATTAGTTTTAAACTGTAAAAAAAAGTTTTTGTTTTTACATTCTAAATCTTATATTTGGTAAGTTACTTGTGCACATTTAGCCAATAAAACGTGTTCTGATTCTGAATAACATGTCATTTTCAGTGCTGTTAATGCATCTTTCTGGTGTTGTAGGTTTTGCTGGTCACGTCGTCCTTCATGTCGCCCACGGAGAGCCGTAACGGCACGAACACAAACCGCGTGCGTTTCTTCGGGCCGAGCCAGCTGGTGAAGGCCACGGCGCAGGAGAAGTGGGACTGTGTGAAGATCGTGTGCAGTCAGCCGTACAGCAAGGTGAACATGTCACGATTCACTCTCCAAACCCGTATGCACCACTCATGTGTGTGAATGAGTCTTTATCCTGTGTTTGTGTGCAGTCAATAGCGTACGGAGTTGCCTTCATAAAGCTGCACTCTCCTCCGGACGCTAACGATGTTCCTGTCTCGACTCCTCCAGTGAGTGCTGCTCCTCTGGCGTCCCGCTGTTTGACGGCGTGAGCTCTGACAGATCTGTTCACTCTCTCACTTTGAATCACAATTTTTACTGCATTTTTGATCAAATAAATGCGTCCGACCCCAAACTGTTTGACGGCGTAAGCTCTGACAGATCTGTTCACTCTCTCACTTTGAATCACAATTTTTACTGCATTTTTGATCAAATAAATGCGTCCGACCCCAAACTGTTTGACGGCGTAAGCTCTGACAGATCTTTTTTCTCCTGACAGAAACTCACTAAACTGGGTCAGTTCAGAGTCAAAGACGAGTCGCCCTCCTCTGGCTCCAACATCCAGCCGGGAAGCCTGTTCTTCAGTAGAGACAGCTCCACTAAAGCCAGCACAGGACTCAAGGGTAACGCACATTACAGTATTAATGGAAACTGTTTGTAATGAATCCATGCATGATGTTTTATGGTTGATCAAAATTACACAGCCCTGCATATTTGCTGTATGAAATCCAACACTCGTTTCTTACCTATTTTGAGCTGCTGATTCCAGAAATAACGTATGTTTTGCTGGAACACGTCACACTTTCTCACAAAATAAGATTTGTGTGGTAAAGAAGTCTTGTGTTATTCCTTAATCAGCAGAAAAACACACAAACACATGATTCCTGTCTGAATCTGAGCCAGATTACTACTATTTAATCAATTCTCAGCCCATGAGCAGATGTTTTCTGCTTTTATGGCATCCAAACAGACACAGAAAATCACAGATTTTGTGCAAAATGCTTATTTTGTAAAGTTCTTTGACAGTCTATTTAAAATTTGAACATATTTTCCCTCTCCTTTAAGTTAAATGATTCATTCTGAATTTTTCTTTTTGTCATTAAAAGTGAAACTTTTGATATTAGACTGCTTTTGTCATTTTTAAAAGTGCATAAAAGCTGATAAATATATGTAATTTGTAAAATCTTCATTCTTATTTTGTAAAAAAAACTACATGATGGAAATTTTTATTGATATTTTTCAACTCAGCGTCATCAAATTAGGTCATATTAGGCAAGTTTTTCAGATTTTTTTCTTAAGATGCAGGGCAGCTTTTGCTGGTATATATTGTGCACATGGTCTAAAATGATCTATTCATTCAGAAAATGATACTGATATGATGCTGTTACTGTTTCTTATGAAGTTGATCTGTTTTGTTTTCCCACCAAAGCCAGATTTGAGTTTTGTGTCCTGTGTGTAAACAGCAGTAAATGTAGTTAATATAGTAATTTAATTTCTCTCTCTACCTGTTTGTTTCCACCAGTGTCTCCTCAGAATGACAGACTGAGTTACGCCGCTGCTGCTCTGAAATCTGAAGGTGCGTCCACACAGACGTCTCCCAGCAGCTCACAACAGGTACCTGTGCTTATTTTTCAAGAAATTAAAGAAATTATTACTTTTATTCATCAAGGATGCATTAAATTGATCAAAAGTGACAGTAAAGACATTTATAGTGTAACAAAAGATTTCTATTCCAAATAAATGCTGCTCTTTTGAACTTTCTGTTCATCTGTGAATCCTGAAAAATAAAACGTATCACGGTTTCCACAAAAATATTGTGCAGCACAACTGTTTTCAACATTGATAATAATCAGAAATGTTTCTTATTTCTATTTTAAATAAATGCTGTTCTTTTTAACTTTATATTCTTCTGTGAATCCTGAAAAATAAAATGAATCACGGTTTCCACAGAAATATTGGGCCGCACAACTGTTTTCAACATTGATAATAATCAGAAATGTTTCTTGAGCAGCAAATCAGCATATTAGAATGATTTCTGAAGATCATGTGACACTGAAGACTGGAGTAATGATGCTGAAAATACAGCTGCACATCACAGAAATAAATTACAGTTTAACAGATATTCACATAGAAAACAGCTGTTTTGAATCACAATAATATTTTGCAATTTTTACTGTATTTTTGATCAAATAAATGCATCCGACCCCAAACTTCTTAACAGTAGTGTATTTGTTAATAAGTCTCCTGGGCTCCATCTCTCTGTGTTTGAACTCCCTAGTGTTTCTTTATTAGGGAACTGAGCATGAATTGTTTCTATATAACCATATTCCTGTCCTCTTAACTAATGAGCAGCTCATTTAACTTCCTTATTAAATTAGCTCCAGCGCTTTGACCATAAATCATCTCTCCGATGCGAACCAGAGCTCAGTACACGATGCTGGTGTCTTTGTGCTGAAGCAGCAGATATTTTGTAGTCACCTGCAATGGATATTGACCTTTTATAGCGTTCCAGAACTATATCCCTATAATTGGAACTGAGAAACTGTGAATCTCAGCAGGATCTGAGATGAAGATGATGCACCTGCTGTAGGATGGAGGTTATACCTGTAAGACGTTTTTCTGTGCACAAATGCAGATGGATGAGTGGATGATGCTGTACCTGTCAAGCTCCAAACAGCACATCAGAGTATCTTAAAGAAGCGTAGTTCTTTGAGAACCGCTGCTCAATGTTTCCTGATGTTTTTCTCATAGGCTCCTGTGAAGAGGAAGTTTGAGTTCAGTAAAGAGCGTCTGGAAGCCGCCGGTCCTCCGCCCAAAAAGCCCAGTTCATCTGCTTCTTCTGAACCAAACTCTGCCACACCGAAGTCTAAAGCAAGAACCGGAGCAACTCCAAGTCCTGTCAGCAGCGGTAAATGAAGAGATTAATTCATATTCACCGAAAACATGAAGTCAGTGGTTCTCAGAAACTAGGAGTGTCCTGGGATTAAAATAATTATAATTGAAATACATTTTTGGATTGAAGAAGTTTTAAGAGCTGAATGTTCTTCTGCTCTTTTAAGCAGATTTTTCAGTCATTCCAGATTCACTTTATTTACTGGATCTTTTTTTTTTTTTACTCCGTTTTACCTAAAAAACATTTCAGAACTTGACATAACTACACAATTGTATATTCATTATAAAAATAGCATACGGTTTTATAAAAGGTCTAAAAATGAAAATGTGCTCACCCTCAGTTCATCCGAGATTAGGATGAGTTTTTCTTCATCAGATTTGGAGAAATGTAGCACTGCATCAGTGTCTCACTGCAAGTGAATGGGTGCCGTCAGAATGAGAGTCCAAACAGCTGATAAAAACATCACAATAATCCACAAGTAATCCACAGCACTCCAGTCCATCGGCTATACAACTGCTTAAATTACACTTAATGAAGTTTTTATAATAAAAGTTACAATTACATAATTATATTTCTACTTCAATTCGGTTTTTTTTTTATTTAAACATTTAAATGGCTGTCATAAAAAATATAGCCTAAATTAAACATTGAAGAACAGTAAAAATGATAATGAATATACTGAATTATATGGTGCATATATTTAGCAAAATGCCCCTCTCTACAGTTTATTTTTCTAGCTGACTAATGAGTTTATAGTCACCGAATAACGTTATGTTTGTTTCTGAGGTAAATGTGACGTTACGTGACACTGTTTACAAGCCGTTATATTGACGTCTTTGCGCGGCTAAAACATTAATTGAGAGATTACATGAGACAGGATAAGGATTGTAAAGTTGTACTCTTTCTTTTAGCTTACCTTCGGATGTTTAGTCATGTTTATTTTGTGCTGAAACTGGTATGAATTAAACAGCACCAAAACGGCATTTATTGTTTGAATACTGCAATACAACGGACAGAATTTGAGATCTGAGACTTTGTTTCATATTAAAAGCACCAAAGCACAATGCTTATTGCGAAATATTGGAATTGGAAGTGCCCTTCAATATTCCGTCCATTAACTGAAAACAGGCGAGACTAATCGATTCTTGGGATCTAAGAATCGATATCGTTTCGTAAAAATGAGATTCGATTAAAATCGAGATATCGATATTTTTCACCCAGCCCTAGTGGTCGACTGACATTGGCCGATATAATTTTATTTATTTTAATTCATATTTAAGAAATTTAAAATCATTTAAAAATGGATTAAAAAATAAATGTGTAAAATAAACAAACTTATACTTCAGATGACAAAGTATTTTTCACAAATAAATAAATGTTTAATAAAAATGTAATTAGAAAGGAAGTAAACACTGTAACCAACAGGGCACTCAGTATTCTGGGAAGTTTGTGTGCATTGGGAATAATATTTTTTCAAATAAAGCCAAGGTAACACTCATGTTACATACAGCACACAGTGAAAATGACATGAATATGGCAGCGGGCAAATGCATACAGCGCAGCATAATTTGAAATCACGAGTTTAAAGTTTGTCGATCGCGCGTCTCCAGTGAAGCTGAACTCTCCCCTGTCCGTATTCAATTCGCACGGACCGACCGTCACAGAACACGCGATCATGCAATAAACAAATGTGATTCACAAGATCTCACACAGTCATATTAGATTTTTTTGCACCCTCAGATTCCAGATTTTCAAATAGTTGTATCTCAGCCAAATATTGTCCTCTCCTAACAAACCATACATCAATGGAAAGCTTATTTATAAATATGTATCTCAATTTCAAAATATTTACCCATATGACTGGTTTTGAGGTCCATGGTCACACATATACACAAGATCTCACAGCTGGATTCGACTAAGTTTGCAAGGTTTGTGAAATTAAATGTTCATTCAAAGATTTGTTTAAATGATATAAATGCGTAGTTGCTGAAAGCTGACGGTAAATGAGGAAGTATTATAATGTTTGCCTTTCTATTACTACTAAAAGCAATAGTTATAATACTTTTTTTGTATGAATTTAAATTCCTTTGTTTAACAGCTCTATCTGATTATTAGATGGACTTCTATCCGTGTTAGACAGAACTGTTAAACAACAACAGCGAACTAGAGGGAGTCAGGGAGAATGTCAAAATAAAAGTCCCGCCTCGAACGCATCGGCCGTCCTGAAAAACTTATCGGCCGATGCCGATACTTGAAAAATGCCAAATATCGACGATATATCGGCCTTGGCGATATATCGGCCGACCACTAGTTTAGAGTCTCATGACGTGATTCAGCGTTCAGAACCGCCTCGTGTTTGTTCAGAGCTTTTGTGTCTCTTCTGCAGCTGTGCTTTCGCCAACACGCCCAAATACAGTCAGGTGAAAGCAGCCGGAGGCGTCATCGTCAGGAAGGAGTGGGTGATGGACTGCCACAAAACAAAGCAGAAGATTTCCTTCAAACGGTGAGCATTATTGGTGGCTGTCAACTGATGTGAGTTCATATCGTGAGAATCATGGGAACTGCTATAGTGCATGTTGAGTTTTCTAGTAGCATCATTCAGGTCAGTGGTGTTATACTTAACTAAAACGGAAAATATTTAAAAGAAAAAAAATGTTAATTGAAATAAGCTAAGTATTAGTTGAAAAACTTTATAATGTTGCCTTAGGAGCTAACTGAAAAAAAAGTAAATACTAAAATGACTAAATCAGAAATAAAAATAAATTAAAGTTAAATAGAAATATAAAAAAATCCAAAACTAATAAAAATACAAACGCACAACAAAATTACTAAAACAAACTGAAATAAAATAAATGCACGACAAAAACTGAAATAACAATAAATTAAAGCTAAATAACAAACATAAAAAACAAAAACTTATAAATGACAAAAGACCACACAAAATTACTAAAACTTAAATAAAAATAAAGCAAAATATAAAAAACAAAAATGATACAAATGACAAAAGCACAACAAAATTACTAAAACTAAAAGTGAAATTAAAATAATGAAAGCTAAATAAAAAAAATAGAAAACGAATACTAATAAAAATGACAAAAGCACATAAAATTACTAAAACTCAAATAAAACTAAATAGAAATATAAAAAATAAAACTAATGCAAATGAAGAAAGCACAACAAAATTACTAAAACTAAAAGTGAAATTAAAATAATGAAAGCTAAATAAAAAAATATAGAAAACGAATACTAATAAAAATGAGAAAAGCACACAAAATTACTAAAACTGAAATAAAACTAAATAGAAATATAAAAAATAAAACTAATGCAATTGAAGAAAGCACAACAAAATTACTAAAACTAAAAGTGAAATTAAAATAATGAAAGCTAAATAAAAAAAATAGAAAACGAATACTAATAAAAATGACAAAAGCACACAAAATTACTAAAACTAAATAGAAATATAAAAAATAAAACTAATGCAATTGAAGAAAGCACAACAAAATTACTAAAACTAAAAGTGAAATTAAAATAATGAAAGCTAAATAAAAAAAATAGAAAACGAATACTAATAAAAATGACAAAAGCACACAAAATTACTAAAACTAAATAGAAATATAAAAAATAAAACTAATGCAATTGAAGAAAGCACAACAAAATTACTAAAACTAAAAGTGAAATTAAAATAATGAAAGCTAAATAAAAAAAATAGAAAACGAATACTAATCAAAATGACAAAAGCACATCAAATTACTAAAACTCAAATAAAACTAAATAGAAATATAAAAAATAGAACTAATACAAATGAAGAAAGCACAGCAAAATTACTAAAACAAACTGAAATTAAAAAAGCTAAGTAGAAATATATATATTTTTTAATGACAATCACAATAAAATTATTAAAACTGAAATAAAAATAGATTGAAGCTAAACAAAAAAAAAGACAAAAGCACATACAATTGCTAAAACGTAAACTAAAATGAAAACTAAAAATCTTAATAAATGCTATAAAAGTATATAAATAATACTAAAATAACACTGATGTACGTGCAGTTATCATTTCTGGCACGAGGTGGACTGAATGTCTAGTGTTTTCTGGCAGTCTGTGTAATTGTGAAGAAGTGCAAAGTTAAGGCAATTAAGTATGCTTTAATTGCCTTATATGCAAGAACCTTCAAAATGGACCTCGGGATCTAGACTACAGTACTACACAGATCTGGCTCTGCATTAATATCAGATGAGATTTGCTAGTGATGCACTGGCTCTGATGATGTGCTGCTCGTTACTTGACAGTCTTTAGTGACCCATCTGATTGTGCAGTTCCTTTAAAGTGTGCATGAAGCAAAAAGTGCTCTAATGAATGATTGAAGTACTGAAGTCTCTCTCAGCAAAGGCTGCATGAGGTCTGAGTTTCTCTAAAGAGCTGATCGCTGCACATCAGGGGTTATTTGTGGCTGATCATGCAGTCATGTTTTGTGGCATTGCTGCTGCTGTTTCTGCTTTCATTGCATCAGTTGTGTGGCGTTCGTTCTCCAGTCTTTCTGCAGGTGGGTTTGTGTTGAACTAAACAGCCGTGACTTCAGTCAATTCATTAAATGAGCGCCTTCATTCATTGGCTAGACTGTGCAATACTACTTTGGCTGTATCAAATATTCACAGTGATTTTAATGGGAATATTTTATATATGCAATTTCGTACATATTGCAATATTTTATTTAATGCACTTTTTATTTTTCATGATAGAAAGATATATATACTGGCATTGAGGGTAAATATTGTTGTTTATAATTTAAGTATTGTTATACTGGCACAACTAAATGTAAACAGAACAGTTAAACAATAGAACTTTTCCAAAACAGTTTGGAAAACATGCAGTGATTATTTGAACCATATTTTTACTTTATTGTGTATTTCAGTATTTTAAATCTACTTAACAAATGGATCCTCTGATCAAAAACAGGATATATATATAATATTATTATTATTATTTATTTTTTATTTATTTATTTATTTTTAAATGACAAAAAACACTATGGAAGCCCGTTTCCGCCACTGAATATAAAACAAAACAAGGTAATTGTGACTTTATATCCACTATCCAGCAATTGATTTTTTTTCTCACAATTCTGAAAAAAGAAGTTGTGAGTTATAAAATCCAATTTTGAGGAAAAAAAAGACTGTTTTTATATATCTTGCAGTTCTGACTTTATAACTGAGGAAAAGGTCAGAATTGTGAGATTAAAAAGTCAAAAAAATAAATATATATATATTATAAAAATTATATCTATTTTGATTATTGTCAAAAGTCAGCAATATATTGTTTAGTTTGTGTTTTTTTTGTTTTTTGGTATGTTGCCCAGCCCTAATGATTGTTATAACAGTGCTGCTTGATAAAAGCCCAGTGCTGAGCGTGTTTTGTGTGTTTATCTGTTCAGCAGTGGGTTTGTTTAGCCGGAGGCAGCCGTGTTCTTCTGTGCCGGCTCTCCATTGTGTCTGCTTCGAATGCCCACCTCACATTATGTATTCTGTATTTAAAAGCTGCATCTGCCATGAGTAATTAAAGCAGACACTTCCTTTGAAGATGAGGAGGGTGCATCTGTCCACACACACATCTCTCCAGCACTCAATCACACACACACACACACACACACACTCGCACACACTCACACACAC